AAAAACGTAATGCAGAAGGATAGAGACCTCTTTAATCTACGGGTGTGTATGAGGAGTTCTGATAAAATATTATGATGAGAAACTGTGATGGAGGCCTATCTAATTTCTGGGCTCTTTGTAGCAGTGCAGTTATTATAAGATAGAAAAAAAAGGTGAGATTAGATTCAATAAGATAGATAAAAACAATATGTAACATAAGGTACGATAGCAGAGCATTCTCTGGTCAATGGCGTTTTCTAGCATTATTTAAATCAATTATAAAATAGACATCAATGTGCGTCTTAAAATAATATTGTAGTTTTGTTTTCATTCTAAGTATTTAATTTTGGTCAATGTTCTCCTAATTAAATTCATCCTGAATTAAAGAAAATATTATAATGTGTACTTGTGGAAAGGTGTTTAGAGTAGAAACAAGAAATCCAACACGATTTGATTTATCTTGAAGGTGCAAGTGTGCACCGCCTTCTAAATCCTCTAAATCGTTGATTGGGGGGCAGGGAATGTCTACGATACTTATTGAAACAAGATATTGAAAGAACGTTTTTTATGTATTTACCAAACAACAGCACAGTGTGGTCTGTCGTTTCCCTGCGATAAAACATTATTATAAACTTATAATATCATTCACTCCATTATGCAGGTCATAGGCCCATGGCCCGCGAGCAAGGCATCCAGAAATAAACTTTTGTTCCGGTATACACAGCCAGAGACCGTTAATGATTCTTAACCGCGGGCCAATTTAGGCCTGCGGGAATATATTATGCAGCCCCTATTTGACATTTATAGTTAAGTGTAAGTTCGGCTCAGGTTTAATCTTTTATGTTTTGTTTTTGTTGTTTTTTTAGAGAGAATTATTCCACATTTTCTCTACGATTTCCTGAACGTTCGAGCAAACAATGTGCCATTATAGTAAGTTCTTTCCCACAACGGAATTTGGTAAGCCAAAACACAGTTCATTACTTACTGACGAGCTTATGGTTCCCGGGTACGGGTGACTGGCCTGGATCTTGTGCAGTTGGCACAGGGGGACATAGTTTAATGATGACTTATTGACGAGCCTTTTCAAGCCACACTGTGGGTTTTGATTGCGTGTTCCCTCAAACCAAATTATCTGAATGAGCAACGAGTATAGGTGGGCAAAATCAGGATAAATATTCGGATAATCGGATAATCCTCAGTAAGACGTTATCCAAATTCAGACTCTTTAACTCTTTTTCCTTGCCCGTTTGCCGAATTGGGAGCACCCATTTGGTGAAGTAGTGCTAACCAGTTTGTTGAAGTGGTTCTAACCCTTTTGCCGAAGCGGTTCATAATTTATACTATTATCTGCCGAAGAGGTGCACTAACATATGATCCGGATTTTGTTAAAGCGACTCATTGAGCAGCCCTAGCAACGAGTATGTTAGAGGAAGCACTGTCACGGCCCGGGATTAAAGCTGGTGTACGGAAGAGAAGCCTATGCTCTGAAGAAATCTTCATGGTCTTAACGGGTATTAATAAACATTGAGAAGATTAGGTCGGGTTGTCCTTTTATTCAATACCTGAAAACTTTTTTTTCTTTTTTGTTTTATTTTTGAGTGGAGTACTCGATGCAGCTCTGGATCACCAAACGCTACCCCCCCCCCTCGGGTCTCCCCGGATAAACGATGTGTGAGACGTTTTTTCAGTGACACTCTCGCCCCTTTTCATTTGTCCTTTGTGAAAAATACGTACTTTACCGTGTCTAAGAGACCAACAGCGCTGGTGGTGTAGTGAGTAGGCTCTGAGTAGTCGCAGGCAAGAGACTTGAGTTTGATTTCAAAGTGTGGAAGGAATTTCCATTTTTCATAGAGTGTCTCCGCCTGTCTACTTGACATGCTGAGTCCCACTCAGTCAAGGTTGGCACTGACTGGAAGGCTATATAGTGTCGCTTTTAAGGAGAAGCGGGCTAACCAAGATTTCGGAGGTTTCTAGAAATCTTGACCAACACCAAAAGTGTGCATTATTGCCCTACCTGTAGGAGAAGTTTGGTTTCATTGGTGTGTATATTTATTTGGTTATAGAGAAAAATTTTTGTGTCTTTTAAAGAAACTGAACAAGGGGCAAAAACTTTACCTTCCATCTTCTCAAAACAGCATTGTTTTTGGGATTGCCCCCTTGTGCTTAAAAGCGACCATACAGCAAAGAGCCTTCTAAATGATCTGAATAGTGTCGAAGGCAGCATACAGAATTTACAGTAATTCAAATTTATGTATTCTAGATAGGTTTGAATTGTGTTTGTGGGCGGTTAGCAGGTACTCTGGTGTGGTTTGTTTCTCCTGTCCTGTTAAACAGCTATCGTCCTTATCTCTCCCCTTTCCTTCTTGTGATTTCATAATTGGATGGTGGGTGGTAGGCAGGTGCTCTGGTGTGGTTTGCTTCTTCTTTCCTATGAAACATCTATCGTCCTTTCCTCCCATTCTTCTTTTTTATGTTTGTTACTCTATTGCAACCCCTTTAATCTGGCGCTCGTATGACATGTAGTTGCAAGCAACGTAAAACCTGTACTAAAACTAAAACTAAAACTAAAACATAAATGGTTGAGACCTCTTATCTTTAGCACTTAAACGACTTTATTGTGTTGCTAGTGTCGTGCAATTTTTACTAAAACAACACAACTTGTGGTAACAACATGAACCGATATTATCCGAAAGAAAAGAAAAGAAAAGGTTAAGAAATAATATAACTATGTCTCTCTAGGGCATGACACCTTGTTATGTAATTCGTGAGAGCGTTATTTGTGTCGGCTTTGACCTGTACATAGATCTCTGAGAAGCGCCATAGAGAAGCATGCATTGATTCTTGTTTCAATGAAGCCCGCGAAGAGACGGAGTGAAGCCATGTAAATGATAATATGCAAGATTGTCATAAATCAATTTCTCCAATCTGCCTGATAAATGTACCGCTTTCATCCCGCGGTGTTTGATTTTTACCCGGGGAAGTTTATCCTTTCTTTCTATCGTTTTTTTTTTGTTGCTCTTCTTTCTTTCCTCTTTGACATTTGATTTTTCTGCGCTCTTGAAGTCTTGGAATGTGGTGCCGATGTTGCTCTTTTCCATCTCTTCCACAATTGTTTTTGCTTATCTTGATATTTTCAAGTAATAAATTAATGACTTTTATTGTGTCGGTCTGCTTCTAGTTGTATTCCAGCTGAAACAGCAGAATATGCAAGATCAAAAAGTGGTATTTGGCAGGTCCTCTGATGAGATTTTCTCCTACTTTCCTGCCAAATATCTACCATCCTTATCTATCACGCTTAGTTCTTTGCTTGTTTCTACACGTATCTATCATCTTTATCCCTCCTCCTACTCCTCCTTCTTTCTTTACATATTTCTATTCAGCAACACATTTGGCCTAATAATTCTCTAAGTGCCGTAAAACCCTCTGCTACGACTAAAAACTAAAACATGAAAGAAAAAACCAATACGAAATAGCTGCAGACACAACATCACGCTCAGTGTAACCGGTGGAGGAACTGGAAAGTAAAAGTAAACTTTGGGCCTTTATTCGGAATTGACTTGCCGTAGCGAGCACATTCGACGTTTTCAATAACCGTGGGACCACGGGTGGGTCACTGTGACGTCATTTACAAATAGCATTTTAACTTATTTTAAGAATGAGGGGAGAGGGGACGGAGTCAAAGTCTACTTTTGCTTCGGGCCGGACTTTCTAGTTTCTCGTAAAGTAATTAAGTGTACGGATTTAACGCTCTTTTCAACATTATAAGGATATTTAAGGGACCAGACCTCAGAATTTAACTTCCGTCTACGATGGGACCAAGCGAATGGGTTGAGAGCCTTGAAAATTCTGCAAAACGACTATAGTTCAAGAATGCCCAGTGTGGGATTAGAACCAGAGCTATCGGCTCCATAGTCCAGCATGCTACCAACTGAGCCAACGGAGCGCCCTTGCCTTCTAGTTTCTGATGAGTACTGGAACTCATACATTTCTTAACTGAATTAGTTTGAATTCGTTAGACCATTTAGTATCTAAACTTTGAGGCCTGACAAATTTCTTGCTCAAGATGTTTCGCGCGTTTTGCTTTGGGGGGAGGGGGGGGGGTGCACAGATGGAAATTCGCCTTTGATGCATCCAAATAAGATATTAAATCTGAGCAAATCGTGGGCAAGCTGAAAAAAAAAGCAGCAACACAGGGTTATCCTTCTAGAAATGGCACCTACATCCTTCTTTTCTTGCCTTTTTCAACATGAACTTTATACATTTTGATAACATTTTTCTCTAGCAGATGCAACGTGTACTATTAATTAAGAAACTGAATTTTTTCTTCTAAAAGGTCACATCTTAAGGCTAAATTCATCTGAACAGGCACTGGCTG